CTGAACAAACCCAGCCACAAGTCCCTGCTGGCAACTTTAAGCACCAGTGTAACCCTTATATTGGGGGTCCAGTTTGCCATTTAGGTCAGATCTTCAGAAAGAGAAGGCATTCAGTACCTCCAAAAGCATTTAAGCACCTCTTTGGCACTCAGGACCTTCCAACCTTCTTGCACACGGCTGTAATTTATTTTCCAGAGTCAAAAGTTTTCCGTCCCCTGTGCTGCAGCCCACCTTCCCTCGCAGACAAACCGCTCAGCACACACTGCTTCCAACCCTGCAATCAGACATCTCCTCCAGTGCCCAGCGCTTCATTAATGCCTGGCCTCCCCTCCCCTGCCTTTACTCATATTACAGGCCACGTCCACATCCTCCTTTCCAACCTTGCTCCAGCAGTGCTTGTTCCTGAGGTCATGCTAGCCTTGATGGGGTTTGTTTATCACCAGCACTAAAAGGCTGCTTCCCAGCTTTGGGGTGGGCTGAAATCCCAGGGATTTTTTCTTTTCTCTTCTTTTGTGAAACAACAGAAAACATACCCAGGATGTTGCTATCATCAGAAGATCCTATTTTGGTTCAGCATCCTGCTGCCTTTGACAGGGGCGTTATCTGGTCAGTAGGGAACAGAGCCAAGGTTTGTTACAAATGCAGCTGCTGGCTGGGTCAGCACCACAGCCTGCTACAACCCAATACTACCCTTTAAAAGGACAATTGTTCTTCTTCTTGAACAGCTTACCCTCAGGTTAAAAGGGTTAATAAATCTGACACGTGACAGAAAAGGAAATAAAAAAGCAAAGCACACATACACGGACATACACGTAGCCTTGGGTTCTTCCCAAATCTGCTGGTGACACCAGGCTACGGCAGCAGCTACGTAATGGGCAGTTCCCTGGTTTCCACAGAAAAAGAGACTTAGCATGGAGATCAGGGAGGAAGGCTGGGCTCACAGCAACAACAGCAAACAGAGAAAGTGGAAAGAAAGAGCCCCCATTAAACACTGATCCTTATTTATGCATGCGTGCTGCAAGGGGTTAGTGCAGAGTCACAATAGTTGCTGAACGTTTTGGCGAGATTAGGGTCCTCTGGAACTGCAAAGCTTCACCAGCCCTAGCTCTGGAAACTTATAGCAAAAGCCTGACTCTGCGAATGGCTTGACATATGCCTGTCCTCTGCCAGGGGAGCTCTCTGCCAACCTCAACTTCTCCTCCCTTCCTTTTATGCTAGCTTCCAGCTGTTTCAGTTTTTCTTTTATTTACTGCCTTTGTTTGTATTTGTCTTTGCTCCAGCAATAACTTGCTTTCAAAGGAGACATGGAGGAAATAAGATCAGGAGGAAAAGGGAGCTAGGAAAATCAGCCCAACTTCACCAGCACCACGACTGCAGCTCCCCTCAAAGCTTCCGCCAAAGCTATTTTCAATACAGAGTGCAAGTGTCTTCCTGCTCCTTTTGGAAGATGTCCACCGTGCCTGTGACATGAACTCGTGCCTGTGACATGAACTCTGCCTGGAACTCAAATCCCACGTGTCCCTAGGGGAGCTTTCAACATTTTTCATCAGGAGTTGGAGCAAAGACGCTCTCCCAAGCTCTGACCCTCAGTGAGATACTATTCTGGATGCATAAGTGGAAGTCACTTTGATAGAGATGTCAGTTTCACCCGACTGAGGAGTCTTCACTCAAGACATCAAGGAATCCAACACTGACATGTTTGGAAGAGACCTGCCTCAGCGGTGTTGGGAAGAGACTAAGTAGCCGTAACTATAGCACTACACTTCACCTGAAAAGCAGATATTTTGTCTCAGCAGTGTAACACAAGGATGTTCCTGGTCATTGTTAAGGTTGGTAGTTGTGTTTTTCTTTCTTTAAGCTACAATAGAAAACCACTTACAAAGACCACTTCAGCTTTATATTTTAGTGGAACTTTTTGAAATGCTACAAAACACTAGAGGCTGTAGGCAATGCCTCCCATGAAAAGCACAGAATCCAAAACACTTGGGTGATGATGGAGATACAAGGTTAGGAGGTGGGGAGGACAATGCCTATTCACACATTCAGCCAAGTCAGCACTCACCACAAGCCATCCTGTCCTTAGGAAAAGAACCACTCCAAAAATGTTTATCATGCAAGAGGTGAAGACTCCATCCCATGTTCCAAAAAGCACTGGCTCCCACACAAAGAGCTGAATCTTCCACCAGGGCTTGGTCTGCATTTGAGATACCTAGAGAAAAGCAAAGCCTTTGTTTTTACCTCTCATGTTTTATAGGCAGGCTGCAGAAGAGGTGCAACAGCCAGACACCAACAGTGGGATGGCCACCAACAGCTGCTAAGACACTGCTTTGCTGCAAGTTATCTCTAAGACAAGGGGCAGCAGAGCTGCTGTGAAACCTGTGTCCTGGAAGAGAGGGTTCCCTGTAATACCCTGTTTATATTCTTGTAGGATAAGCAACAACAGAATACTACTCAGCCTCAGCAAATTTAATCCCATTGATGATGTTATATGAACCAAGAACACTATCCAAGAGGTCCTTTACAGAGCCTACAGCTGTACATTGTGCTTCTCCTTCTGTCCCTGCCAAGCACCCCGCCAAAACAGGGTCCTCAGTTCACTGGACAAGTCTCTTAGATGAGATGACAGTTTTCTTACTTTGGGTAAACACGTGCCACAGAGGTGACCAAGACGTGTAGAGACGATGGAGATGGAAACATGGGTTATGAAAGGAAATGGCTTTCCAACATACCTGCTGTGCTTCCTCATGGAACAACTCTTGGACATATCCCTCACTTCTGGCACCATTCAGGCTGAACATCGTATCCGTTGTGTTGCCTCAGCCTGTCCAACTCAGCTCTGACACTACAACTCGGAGGCTGGTCCAAGGAGAAGGTCAGCTATTGTCCTCAGGCAAATTCCTACAGGGCTGGATCCTCCACTGTGGAAGATTCATGTTTTATTGCACTTTACTGTGAAAGCAGGAAAGATAGAAAATATGGCTGTTGCTTTCTTAGTCTGCAGAAGCACAAGGCAATTACCCAGATGGAGCCAAGAGCAGCTCATAGCAAATGCTGAACTGCAGAGTGAGACTCCGGCAAGGAGAGAGCAATAGTCCCACAGTACCTTCCCACGGCCTGCCTGCAGCATAGGCTCCACCATCAGCCCTACATTTAACAGCCTTTGGTGGCCTCTTCTGAATCCATCCGTGCCTCTGGCATCCCCAGGATCCTGCAGTACTAGCTCCACAGCTCCATGGTGTGCTGTCTGGGAAATGCATTTCCTTGTCACCGAGTTTAAATCTGCTGCCTGGTAATTTCACTGCATGCGCCTGTGCTCCGGTGACATAGGACACGTGGACTGTTGACTTCCCAGCACCAATAATCACTCTGCAGCCTTGATGACATCCCCTTCAGCTGTGCCTTTACAGCCTGAAGTCCTGCCAATGTATCCTCTCCCGACAAGCAACGTGGTTACCCCGCTCAGCATGACGCAGAGATGGAACTGGAGCAGCTGAAGGTGTCCACCACTACTCTGCATTCCTGATGCTCTCAGCCACATCCCCTGCACTCATGTACAGGAGGAGCCTTTCCTCATGGCCATACCCACTCTTGTCTGCAGTGGCCCAACTTCAGATTTGTACCTGCCACAGGCAGACTCTGGCAGTGGGTCAGGCTTAATTCAACACCACGTAAGTACCAAGAAACCAGCATCAGGCTAGATTTCAAATATAAATTACCACATCTTTACAGAAAGGGAAAGCTAGCACAAGCATTTCTCTGCCTCAAAATTGGTGGTTCCTCTCCCTATTTGGGTGGTTTTTATGTGAAGTTCTCCCACCAATTGTGGAGAATTGCTTTTATACAGCCCCCCTCCAGCTGCCTGCAAGTGTTAACTTCCCCCAAATGGTCTTGTGATGGCCACCAACCAGTTACCCACAGTCTCCCACACCAATTGCCAACAGAGCCTTTCTAGCTGTTCCTAGGCTACACCATGGCTAGGGAAGAAAAAGATGCTGCAGCCCGAATGGAGCAAGACACACTCCATGCATGCTGGGAGAGAAGACTGTCTGGATTGTTGGCTCTCCTGGGGTGGGTAGTTTCCTGGCAGTGGAGCCCACATGCTTACTAGAACCAACCATGATCACTCAAGGTTCGTACCAATGGCTGGACACCTTACCCGAGACCAGACATCCAATTTACCACAGACACAATCCAGGAATCTTTGATTCCTCAAGCCTCCAAGCTATGGAGACAAGATGACCAACAGAAATGTGCTTTTCCTATTGCTCAGGGACAGAGAGATACAGAAACTACTTTGGGTCCTGATGACTTCTGCGTCAGGGTCTGAATCCCAGCTCCCAGATCAGCACTATCACGAACCCACTTTTATGATTCTACTTTGAAACACTCAATAATAAACAACCGGTGCTGCCACTGCTGTACCACGGTGTTTCAGCTGCAGACGGTCTCCTGCAGCTCGGGTACAATGGACAGCACAGCAGGTTCTTCTTCACCCTGTCCACATGGCCAGTTAAGTAGCACCAAAGCCCTAAGAGTTCACTGATTCCCCACTGCTCCGTCCCCTTTCTCTGAAGCAAATAACCCTTCATGATACCACAAATGGCTGCTGTTGCAGGGACACTGCGGCTTCACGCAGGGCAGAAGCAGCAGGAGCATATGAACTCTAAAAAAAACAAAGCTCATGTTTTTATGCAAATAGCCATACTAATAAAACAAACAAGAAAATGCACAATGTGGAACAAGATTACAGTTAAACGGCCATATTCTCCTTTGACTTCCCAGTGCAGCCCTTCCTTGTCAGAGATGCCACTCAGTAAAGGATCTACTGCAACCATCCAAACTCCTGTCTGGCACAGCACTTCCAGCTGGATGTGGAAAGGGAGGTTGTGGCCCTGTGGCCCCTGGCTCTCCTAAACCACTCCACCACAGAAGTCTAGGAGATGGCCCCAACCCTTTGCAGCAGGCCTGGGTGGCTGAAGCCGCTCACTCAGTGTGCCTGGTGTGCAGCCACAGGTAGGTTGAAACTTGCAAGATACAGGAAGAAGAGCTCCACACATGGATTTCAGACCTGGCACTCACCTTGCAGGAAACATCACCCTCCTAGACATTTTAACCCCCCTATCTCAAAATTTCCTTCCTTCTCCTCAGGGTTAAAACCCTTCTCCCACCCTTTCCACTCAGCCCTGCTCCTGCTCACCTTGGTGTAAGAGCTTTCCCCTCCACAAATACAGGAAATTGCCTCTCCGCTATTGCTCCTCTGCGGTGTTTCCAACCACTTAAAATCTTATTACCCAATTCTGCAACTGTTTACCTGCCTCCTCGATATATGGATCCATTCACCCCTACAAAGCAACTGCAGCAAACACAGGAGGGGCTATAAAGCACAGAAGCCGAAGCTGAGCAAACATGCCAGGACAGCTGCTGCACATGCAGCCACATCCCGACCCATGCAACTTGTGTGGATTTTTGCCATTTCAGGTCTTAAAGTGGCAAGTCCTTGGGGGCAGGAGCCTTCCTCTTGTCCCTTGCCGCACACTACCAGCACAGCGTGGTATCAAAATTGCTGCACAGCACAGAGATGCTTTTGGGCAGTATTATCTGCCTAGGTCACCAACCCAGCACAAGGTTTTTCTGCTCTACACACCTGTCTGCCAAGAAAAACCAAACAGGCACAGTTTCCCTCTAATATAAGTGCACCTCTAACTCGAAAGTTAATTGATATCACTTTTCCTAAAGTTTCTGCCAAAGACACTAAGCAGTCTATAAATTAAAGAACGGCTGTTTTAATCTTTCCAGACCATTTAGTGCTTGAAAGAGCAGAAGAGCATTAGCAAACCTCCTCACAGAAGCATTGCAAAGGCTCACCTCCTTTTCCTGTAACACTTCTATATTTAATTACAAACCCAGATTCCTACGGATGAAACATCCATGCCCTCCACATCCTTTCAAAGCAGTAACGTTTTATTAATTGTCACATTAAAGCCATTCCTAGCTAAGTGTCGCTGCTCTGAGCTGCTCACCAGCTGCCTGATTTTAAAGAAGAAAGGTTAATGCCTTCCTGAGCACAACCGCGTGTGGTCCCACAACCTCCGAAGCCTCCATCCCTGCCAGAGGAGGTACTTCCAAGCCTCCCTCCCTCAAGGGACACAGCAGGCAACAGCATGTTAGTTTTAATAAATCCCCTCAACTCCTCTCCAGGCCAAGTTCTTAAAAACACCTAATTTAGGGGACACTGAGGAAGGAAGGTATTAAAGGGGAACAAGGCAGCTGTCAGTGCAACGAAGGTAACGCCACGCATAGGAGCACTTGGTTATCCCCAGCTATTCCCAGTTACTCATTTACTGCAATAGCCAGGACAATTACCAAGCTCTTTTGGGTTTTACATACCTCTGCGGTGTAACTAACGTTGTGGAACACAAGAGGTGGGGAACAAGCCCGGGCTCACCCCAGCAGCTTCAGTTTTGCAGAGGCCACGGCAGGGCCAGCGCTGCTCACT